AAATTTGAATGCAGTACATTTGTTTTTAAATCCTTTATTTTTCTGCGTCATTACGTTAACACCAGGAATACAACTAAATTAAGTGTTACTTCTTCCAAGAAATATAAGTTTATTCACAAATGTTTCCTTTTACAATTATTAACAGTTTTATAGGTATTTTTGCAGTGTCGTCAGTTGCGTTACATTAATTTCTTCTTCACAAAAATACATGAAATTATCATAAAAAAATAATTTCTACTAAATCAAACAAAATATTGGCCTTGGTCACAGGCTAACGTTGCTGATTTTACCTTGTTTTTACTTCTACTCGTAATTGCATTAGCATCAACTCAAGAAAAAAAATTAACATCAACAATATTCCAAAGTCACTGGTAAATAGCTCAAATACTATTTTAACTATGGAATTATCAATTTTAACAATGAATTATTGCTGTCGCGCCGACATTATATAAGTATCTTTAAGTTAGTGGTGGTATATATAATAGAGTATAAAAGAATATTTTAAAAATGATAACCTACTGAACGCTTCTCAAAGAAAAGCTTACGCTTGCCCTAAAAAAGAACTTAAAAACAGTAGTCTGATTGATGAAGACATCATTATGGCATTTAATTCTCCTAAAATGAAGTCTATTGAAGTCGATTTATCGCAGCATTTTTCTTTACAAATTTCCACTTTGAAGTTCTTTGGCGTGTGGTTCTATATATCTCACCCTATTAAAAGCATTCGTTTTTGGTTAAGTATTTTGTCCAGAATATTTCTAGGAATAATAATTTTTACAATTCCTACTGGCGGTCAATTAATATATGTTATACGGCTACTTATACAAGGTAATGCAGAGATTCAAGAGGTAGCTGGCATGTAAGTAACCAATATCTTACTTATTCTTATTTTATTTTAAAGAAGAACACAAAAACCTTAAATATTCTTACCTATAACTAATTATACGGTAGATGAAATGAGGTCTTTTATAGAATCCATTTAAATTCTTTTTAAGAGAAGAAAGAAAATTAATTACTCAATAACTTTTTTTAGTAGAAACAGTAAACGTTTAATTTATCCTTATTGTTTGAAAAATAATGAGTAATAATGTACTTAATGTATGCTTGATACGATGTCAATAATTTCAATAAAAATTATCTCTTTTAAGTTACTCTATAAAACAAACTTCATATTTTTTTTATTGACTAAACTTTTCTTTGTGACACAAACCACTCGCTTAAACCGTCAAGGTTTTTATGGGAGAGGGAGTTCGCCTTGTTTGTTTTAACAATATGTATTATCCCCTAATCTAGTATGTGCTTATGTTTTATCTTCGCTAGGAGGTAATTTTTCGTCAGTTTCGAGTAAGGCTGGTTTGTTATATATTTATAAACTATCTCTCTACACTCTAGATCTACGAGTACACTACATGCGTCACTGATTTCATCTTTTTGTATTTTTTTGTATCCCTGGTAACGTTTATACAAAATTCTACGATGAGCCGAATGTAGTAACATACTCAAAGGATCCTACCGACATTTCTGAAATGTCAGTTTCATGAAAATAAAAGTGCCAGTTTTCTAGTTTTCACTGAATTTCCCTGTTCTCCAAGCGACGCTACTTTGATGTCTCTTTATTAAAAAAAATATAATGTACATAAAATCATATTAAATCGGAATGAATATTGTGTAATTTAACGTAAAATAATAACGTAAGTAAGATATAAAAAAACCTAGAAATTGAATGATGTTTCAAAATATCTGTTTGAAATCTAAGAAGTTCACATGTCAGTACGGCTAGTTGCCCTTGTAAACGTAGAAAGTAAATAAAAAATAAAATCTCATATATTAAACTATTGGGGCGTAAACCCAAATGATTACCTACTACGAGTATGTGTTCTGACGTAAAATTGGTTCTACCTATCCGTAAAAGTATTTTTAGCGAAGACTGAGGAAAATGACCGATCAAGTTTATATTTTCAGGATTCAAAGTAAGAGTATCTATTAATAAAAGCCTTATAATGTTATATGTATTGCATTATGTGGATAAATACTTTTAAGTAGTTTTTGTAAATAATAAGTTCGAACTATATTATAGCTAGTTGATATCAGTTTTGTTAAAGTGGTTAGACTAATGTTTTTAATTGTTGAAAATACTTATTGCTGATAATAAAAAAGATATTAAAGTGTTTAATATTGTGAGATCCCAATAAGCTATGTTATGTCGAGAAATATACATGATGATAGCTCACATTTAATTAACAGTTACAGTAGTAGCCAGCAGATTAAGTAATTACTATTAAATTATGCCATGTTATACCTTAAATTCAATATTGGGAGAGATTGACTAGATAATGTAAAGTATAGCGACAAAATTAGGTAAATTTAGATGTTAACATAAGCGACGAAGCGTTACTATAAGCATTCTCATCAGTTCGCATGGGTGGCTTCAGAGTTTGGAAAATTACTACTAATACCAGCTTACGGGCATTCTTGTTTACGGTTCGTAACAGGAAAATACTTGTATATTCCTTTTAAAATTTATAAGTGTTATGCAAAACGAACGCTATAAACCGTCATATTTCTGATTTCTGGTTTTTTTTTTTCTGAAAACGACCAATATTTAATAGATACTGTATTTCGGGAGTTTAATAAGAAAACTTAAACGAATTATTATTTATTTAAAATATTCTTATGTAATTAATATAAGTACTATGGGTATATATGATAACCTAGTATGCTATATTTTTCATAAAATCACATTTTAAATTTCAGTGCATCTACTATGTTTTAGCTCTGCATCGCCCTGAGGTTGACTGTAACAAAATGCCTACGGCACTAAGTCTACCTTTGTTCCATTTGTGCATAAAGAATAATAATATTATAGTATACTTTTTGGTATGAATTTAAATGCAATAAAGAATTTATTTTTCCGTTGATTTTATGACAAACATTTTACAATACTTATAACAATAAAAATGAGTCATTGCAAATATTTTACCGAAAGTATAGAAATAAATATAGTTTATACGTTATTAAGACGTTCACTGTATTGAGGTGTACAATAACACCATCTCATTAGTGCTGCACAGCAAAATATGCAATGATTGACCGAGGAGCCGGTAGGCTTATAAACGACGACATGCTCTTAATAGTAATTTACATACTCTTGAGCCACACGGTCAATCGTCCGCTTATCGACGTTTTATTAACACGCTTTTATTATACTGAATTCACTTTGCTTACGAAAGCTCTTTTCGAATTAATTGAACCCTCATTATTTTTTTAGTGTACTACTACACGCAGACAGACGTTTTCTCTTCTCATTTATCTGTCATAATAAAGTCAAACTTAATGTTTTGCATCTTCTTTTTGGTTAACAACTATAAATATTTACAGTAACGCTTTTTCAATGTCTTACGCTTTATTTATTACGTGCATTGATAAAAAAGCGTTTATAATAAATAACTAAAAATTGGTGTTAAAAGGTTTGCAAGGTTAAGATAGTGTTCCCAACACTATCTTAACCTTGCAAAAGAATGTCAACACGAGATTTTCTTTGAGCCATATTTTAATATATAGCGCTGATGGCAGTCTTATCTTCGTATAGAGATGCAAATTTTATTAACGACTTTGGCATAATATTGACTAGTATATGAGTTTAGATAGGTAAAATTATATGGAAATGAGCACAAAAAAATACTTGTAAAAAAGGCAAGAACCCTTCCGTGCTTATAAATTACATTGTAACGACACAATAAATCTACTGTGAAACAGAAATTGCGTGCACATACATGACAAACGTAAATTAAGAACTCGTTTTGGCGTTTTCGCTTAAGTTGTTAAGGTCACGTCTTATCAGATTAACCTCCATATTGACTGTGAAAAAAAGAAGTGAAAATTCTCAAGTGACAATATAATACGTAGAGTGGTGTGAAATGAGACTTCTCGACGTCTCGTAACCAAAAAGGTAGCTCATCACCATTTAGTCGCGATTTATCTGTTATAGCAAAAAAAAAAAACAGTAATAAAATTATGGCTGGGCAGGGCGGCAGCACGGGACCTTTTCCTTCCGGCTGATGCAGGTGCTTTCCGGGCACGGTTGCTTCGGAAAGTACCTGTACTCGGTCGCTAGGAGGGAATCGAGTCCCACCTGCCACCACTGCGACTGCAGTGAGGACTCGGGAGACATCAACCTAAATCATGATATGGCATCGAAATCGTGGAAACAAAAAAATAAACGAGACTACTCCTATTTCAAGTTTAATTATAAACGCTCAATAATTTTGACATAGTTTTAGATCGAATCCCCTTCTTTTCAGTGATTACATACATAAAAATTCCTATCGTTGTTGGCAGGAAGTAACTCCATTCAAAAATATTTATTTTGTTACCAATCTACTTCCGCGTGTTTTTACGCGTAGCATTCTTTCCAGGGCTATATTTTATGAATAGTCGTAAATGAACAATTTACTGCGACAAATTCCCATAAAATTATGTTATTACTTTCGATTTAAGCTAATGACCTCAGTAAATCTGGCCCTACTGTTTTTTCAGCCAACATTATCCACAACTGTTTCGCTTTTCTTTTTGATAAATAAACTACATTATAACATGTGTGTCTTATAAATAAAGCCAAAAAAGTGAGATAATTTTCAAATTTTCAAATAGTTAAAAAAATGACAAACATTCAGTTTTAGTTTATAGAAGTAGTCGTAACGCTTACCTTCTGCAACTAAACTTTACGAGTACGATATTAGTATTCACAGAAATATCATAAGTCAAAAACATTTTTTTTTTTTGGAATAGCCTTTTAAACCCCTAAAACATATAAGTTTTTTTTTATTATATAGATGATTGAAATTGAAATGATTGAAATTTGTTATTTTAAAATAAAATTAACTACCACATGCTTTTATAGTTCTATTACTGATTTATTCTGAACGCACCTCAAACATTGTCTAAAGCAGTTTAAATGTTAACGTAACACATAGTATTTCATTTACAGAATAAATTTAGTTATGACCGAGTTACTGGCATCAGTAAGGCTTCTGGATTTGTTCCTGCGTCGGAACATATTAATGCAACTGGTGGATCAGTTAATGTGTAAAGAGTTTCAATTTCGTCTGAAGCCTCAACAAGCTATTTTAGAGAAAGCAATTTTGTATACCAGAAAACTTTTCTGGGTATTTCTATCGCTCAGTGCATTAGATATACTTGGTAAGTATGAACATGTGCATATTGAGTATATGGCATACGTGTTTTATTGTCATCTTCTCAATTACCAAATATCGGGTATTAAGACGAATATTCAAAATTCAATTCCGAAACAAGACAGCTTTTGGTGAAACAAACCGACAAGTGTTCAGAGTTTGAATTTCAGTAAGATCTCTCTACGACACAAGATTGAGTTAATGGTTTCTTCATATTACAAATAATAAATTAAAGTGCTATTCTATAATCCCAGCTTTATAGATGCATATAATAAAGAATATAATAGAAATAATAATGGAACCATGTATTAAAAAATAACACTTAAAATATGTATACACCGTTTAATACAAAACGTTTAATTCTTAACTTTTGTACCAATACCGTAGTATTTTACTTTACTGACTGTTTTGTTTTCATAAATGTAGCGAAGATTCTAAAAAAAACTTGTTAGTATGTAACTTTCGGTAAGTTAGTTCGTTAGTAACTAATAGTAAACTTTTGCTCCTACTTTACTAAAGTCAGATCGTGTCATTTTAATTATTAATTTTACAATATACTATTTTGATTGAATGATAATTCAAACGTTTTTTCTTTTTTTACGTGTGGAAACTCCCTCGGGCCGTCACCCCACCGGGGTTTGCGGCGGGGTGATGTATCGGAATCGAACCGACTAAAACAACACGGTTTGCCACTCTGTGCTATCCTATAGCGATCCGGGAACTGCTGTTATTAAGACATCCGGACCCCTCCTAGCGCCTGCCCGCAACGGCGGAGGTCCATCCATTTGGTAACAGCATACGGAAAACCACGGAAAACGGAAAGAACGCCGCCCCCCGTGACCCCTACTGGGGCCCTGGGTCCGGGAGAGCTCAAGTCGGATATACAGATGATCCGACAGCGTCTCAACCTCTTTCAAGACATGCCAGTTCCTTACTCGTGCGGAAAGAGGAAGGGGTAGCTAAACCATCGACCCCTCCTCCTAATATCGGAGGAAGAAGCAACGCCATCGCCAACGTTTCCAGGGTGCACCACGTGAATGTTTTCTAGCCAAGCACCTCATGATAATTCAACCTAACTCAATCAATGTTACAATAGAATCAAAGAAAAATGTTATTTTACATACATACATACACACACATTATCTCTAAAGGGGTAGACGGCGGCAAGGATCAATTAATATTCAAAAATGTCCAGCACTAATTCTGATTGTATAAATATGTAGTGAATTTTAAATGTTCCTAATGAAAATAAATTATTGGTTCTAAATCCCTGTTATAAATATTCATCTAAATTTGCAATTCTAAGCTTATTAAACAGTAGTTTCTCAATTTGCTTGCTGAATTGTAAAATTATCTATTAAGAATTTAATTCAAATGTAAAACGAATTGTTCACCGTGTTGTAGAATCAAATATTATCATATTTATTGAGAATACTTTAACACAGAACGTAATATACTTTTCAAAGTTATCTATAAAATAAACACAATACAAAATAACTATACTTAATAAGCCTGTTGCTTATACCACGTCATTTTAGTCTATTTATAACATGATTTAGTACACGGATCTTATTCCTCTAAATCGTCATCATGGCCAACAATTAGGCACAATTGGAGACAAATACACATGGTGTTTCAGAGTTCACTATATGCGAAATGAACCTGTCTATTCATCATGTTGATTTAATCAGTAAGTTTATGAGAACAACGACAGAAAAGCTCTATTTGATATCAGTTTCTAATTAAACATGACTCACTAGTATACTGACTGCCTCGGAAAAAAATATTTGTATGATCTGCAAATATTTGTTTCGAAGTTTGGGTATTTTCTGTGTATAATATGTATGTATTTACAAAAAAAGTAAACAAGTATTCTGTTAGTCAATCTAGCTTTCATGGTACAAGCTCTGCTTAGTTTGAAGTTAGATGATATTGTGTGACTGGTGTCCAAAAAATATCCTGATTATTATTATTAGTGGTTATATTTCTTTACAAATATATATTTAACCTGCACTGAAAATCGAGATGCGGAACAGAATATCTCACAAATACTTTTTATCTTTAGTATTGCGTATGTTCAATCTTGTTAACGCCTACAGATATTATAGTTACAATTCGATGAACATTTTCAATGGCTGCGAAAGATAAATGAATTATTTATATTTTTCTCCACAACGGTACAATATCTGGTAACATGGAGATGTGCACATAATTTTGTTTTTATCATTCTGTGTAACATAATACACAGAGAATTGAATTAAGTTTTATTGCTCTTACAGTTCACGTCGTTGTTGTACCAGGCTTAGGAAAATTTAGTAATTTGCCACTAAAAATGGATCTGATATGGTTTGATATAAGTCAAGAATCATATTTTACCTTCGTGTACATTTACCAGGTAATTGTTATTAATATCTCAACAAAAATTAAGAAACTGCGAACTTCTTTTGTTCAATCGATGTCTTCAAACTTAATCGATACAGAATATTATAATATTTAATTACATCCATCGAGTATTTTCTTATAAGAAAATACTCGATGGATGTAATTAAATTTGCTTAAGTTTTATAGGTGTGTACTTACCGTGATTTACACAGTTTTAAAATACATGGATGTCATCAACTTAAATATTCAAAGCGAGTTAGCCTCGTACATTTCTTTTAACGACTATCCATCGTTCGTCCAATTTTAAAAGCATCGGATAGGTTTTTTGCAATTTATTACAGTAGGTGTTTGTTTACTTTCAAATATATTTTTTACTTGATTTTGATCTTTAGGTGTCATACAAACCAATGGTGTTGGGTACTTTCATGGCACTCCAAACTTTGCCATGGGCAGCTATGTGTTGCGCAAGTAAGTTTTTGTTTTTTAAATACACGTGTGTGTAGTTGCTACTATTGCTAGTTTTGTGTTTTTTAAACAAAAATTGACAATAAAGTTCATTATAAAAATTCACATAGTTGTATATCAGCATTATAATTACCAGTACCAATATAGAACAGGATACGATACGACCTCTTATTTTTCAAGAAAACAATATACTCTCATCTCAAAGAGCTGGCGATACACTTATGAATTTAGTTGCAGGTGTCTTTGGGGACGGTAGTCCCTTACCATCAGATAATCCATCTATTTGCTCGCTATATCATAAGAAAATAAATAATCCTATTGTTTCTTTAAGTCAAATCCAATAGCAAAGAACGTTAATTACAGATATTTTAACTAAACTGTATTTACTTTACGAATGTACGATACGTTAAGTACGATAAGTAAAATATATAACATTCACATTATACAATGCCCAATTTTATTAATCTTACAGTTAGCCAGTTGAACGTCTTAATTTATAACTTGGAAAATATCAAATACCTTGTGGAGTTGACCATGGCTGAAATGCAGTGCGATTCAAATACAGCGTTTAAAGAAGTTTTCAAGGGATGTATTCTGCATCATTGCAGCATAGTCAGGTAGAAGTAGTTTGTAATTGAAGTGTTTTAAATAGGTAATTAAATTTGTTTATATTATTTTAATATAAGTAATGCCGTTTCTTCCACAGATTTGTAAACACGATTCAGAATGCATTTGGAGGACAGTTAACATCAACGTTATGGCTCAATGGCTGCATAGTTGGTACTACAGCTGTGCAGATATTTTCGGTAAAAAGATAGAACTAATTTTATACACCCTGAAAATAAATGGATTTCTAATTTACAGGAAAATCTCAATAATAAATTTCAAACAAAATTTTGTTAAGTTCTGGGCCCGTCATACTCTGGTACTATATATATATATATACATCCAGAAATTTGTACGATTTTTTTATTTCCTTAAAGCTTCTTCTGTGAAAAATGGAATCGAAATCTATATACTGCTTGCTTTAACTATTTTGCTGACTATAAATAATTTATTTTTAATTTACCAGATTGAATCTCCGCTTAATAATATTACTGACGTAGCGTGGATACTGGCATATCTGTTTATAATGATTGGTTATCTATTCGTTGATTGTTATTTTGGAAATTCCGTGACTATCAAAGTAAGTCTAAATGATTCGATTTTTCTCTTTGATTTCTACTTGCATCTCAAATTTAAACGTTATAAATTTCTGATTATTGCAATTAATTTGACACAAAATAATATCACATAACAGAAAATTAAGGCTTTATCTTGGTGACGTATTTAAATGTTAACGCATCACTTCATAACTTATGAATGTACATATACTCAATCTTCAGACTAGTATAAAAAGATGTCTCATTACAGAGCTTGCGTGTATCAAGCGTGGCTTTTTGTTGTCCATGGATAGAGCTTTCAACACCTCTGAAGAAAGACTTACTGGTATTTATAGCAAAAACACAGCGGCCTATTGTTATAACTGCTGCGAAATTCGTGCCAGTCTCTCTGGAGACTTTTACTAAGGTAATCTGATACGTTAGCTGACCTATTTCTTCTTCGTGTATTATTAAAGGAGTTGTTTACTAACTTTCTGATAACATATTACAGAATGAGAAATATTCATGTAATTATCATTACATGTATATTTCTTCGGTAAACAAATAGTTTTCTAAGAGGTTCTAATTATATTTACCTCTGTCAATAATAATAATAATAAAATCATTCCAAGACATTACTTGAAATGATTTTATTATTATTATTATTTTTTACTTTTTATCTTGTTATCCTCTCGTCTGCTCTAGAGACTGTCTTTGTTTGCTGATATTGATCTATTGTTACTTATACGAGTATGTACTACATAGTTAAATATTCCTTTGAGTAAAAATGTCTAGCTGGTGGTGAAGGAGTTTCTTCGTACGAAATTTGTAAAAGTAATAATTAAGAGTTTTAAAGATTTTAGGAGCAAAGTATTTCAAGAAAAAGTTACACTTATTTTGTATCCAGTTATGTTTTTTTTGCCTTAGAATAAAGAATAGTTCTACTTTACTTACTTACTTACTTTACTTACTTCCACTAAACTTTGTATAGATTAGAAGTGCAAATAATCTCGATTTTACATTTAATTATTTTTTAAATTCTTTACAAAATAATGCACATTTTTGGTGTTGTTTGTTAGTATTTTTTGAAGTCGGTTCAACTTTTTTTTAAAGGATTTTTTTTAGTTTTAGAAAAAGATTCTCTAAGCTTTGGTTAAGGGGAAAGAAATACTAATACCATCATCGTCGCATACTTTGAATCCCGACGCTAGTTTGAAACTTCGTGTAACTTTTAAAATTGTCGAAGTTCCCTGTGACGGGTCAGATTTCGTCAAGAAAAGTTTTGAGGACAGCAGGTGATATCATAATTTACGGACAACCAATTCAAGTTTTCGTGTTAAAGAGGGATTGTTTATTTTTTAACTAGAATTTCTATATCACCGTGATTACGTCTTTGCTACGTACCTACTGTATAATATAAAAATAATCACGTTGTACGTTCTATATACGGGTTCATATAAGGTAAGGCTAAATCATTTTAAAATGCTTACTTTATCAGATGGGAGGGACGTTATGGGCATGGGCTTCTTGTTCAAGTTATTTCGAAACGATCTTGACTGTCCACAGTTATTATCAGACTTTAATTTTCGTATTTCAGCCAGAATTCTACGTAAACCAATTACTCCTCTCTACCCCTCACTAAGAAGAAGAGTATAAAGTTCCAATTCACACATTCTGGTGGCCCAATGTAACGCTTACTGAAACTTCATTACTGTGAAAGTGATTCAGGCAAAATATTTCCAATTAAAAATCATTATTACAATCGTATGATACACGCTCTTGTTTAGATTTTTGTTCTTTTTCACGAAGTAAACACAAAGATTTAAACTAGTTATAAAGGCCGGTTAAGTGTATTTGAGAGTTTTTGAAGTAATAACTTCTTATGGGAGGGTAAACCGCTTCGTTACGTAACGCGTTACGGCGCCAGTCTGTCTGGCTTCTAATTCCCAAGGAAGGTAGGCTCCTCCTCTTTTACTAACCCACTGTGCTAGCCGTATTTCGGACAGACGCTTTACGTAAAATTAAGGTAATAATCTAGGGTTTTCTCAAGTTAAACAATTTCAATATTCAATAGTTCAACTTAGGTTGGTTAAGTTATCACTTCTGTCAGGAGTCCCGTTTTTTTTAATATTGGTAGTCAATTGAAAATATCTCGAACATTGTTGTGTAATTGAAAAATGTCGCAAAGTATCAGCGAAAGTTTTAACCCTTCCATTATAATAGAGCTACCTTTGCAAATGGCATTCAAATCATATCCCTTTCAAGAATCAGATAAGCTTCTAGCAGTTCTAATCCGATATGTCATATGGATAAAAGTTATGGGCTTTTAGAAAGTCGAAACTTTTTGTCAACTTGTTGGCTGCTATGTGCACTGCCACAATCTGTAAAACACGGAATCAGCATTTTTCTACGTAACATGATTGAAACAGAACTGATGGTTAGGTTAAATTAATGAAGATTTCAGATATTCAGGTATGAACTGAACTATGCCTAAATATTAATGTGACTTCCTACAATGTTTTTATTTTAAATGAATGGGCATAGATATAGAGATAGAAAACCTTTTTTTACTATAAAAATACAAATAATAAACTTATTTAATTCAGCTGTAAAACAACTTATTGACAGTTATAAGGTTATGACAGATATCGTCATTCACAGTTTTCGCTAATTATATCATTCTAGATGTTGTAACGTGACGTTCTCATTAAAGTGGCATTGTTTCCAACTACGAGTACGGATCTAGAAAATGACAAAACAGTCACACAAATTGTACGCGACTTAGATTTATTGTTAAATTATGTGGTGTTAAATTTCAAGGCAAATAGCCTTGAAATTTAATATCCTAAGTTAAATCAGTTAGTCCCGTATGCATTTCATATTATAAACTGTTAAAATCTAATCTATTCTATGTACATCTTGGACATTTTTAGTGTGATTTATAATTGAGTCTATTCAGCGTCATAGCTAGCAGGGGTATTCCTTTTTTTTAGATACGATGTTGAATACAATTTTGTGTTGAATAGTTCTTGAAAAACTTAAAACTTTTTTACATGTGTAGATTTTTTATGTAACATACTTATAAACGAACTCTACAAAAAATATATTGTAGAAACAGGCATAAAAACGAGCAAATTTACACAAAAAAGTTTTAAATAAATTAACCCGTCTCTGATCTTTTCCAGTGGAAATGTGCCCATCACACTTGCTGCATTGCCAAACTTTGCTCCAGGAATTAACCGGAGCGGGAGTCATTTTTGACTTCAGTGAGTTTTCGACTTAATAAACTCCCTAGTGTCAACAGCCCATGGTCTTCTGCAACACAGGAACGAAGTGGTACGCAAATAGTGTCCCAGATCAGGCACTTGCCGTTTTTACGGGGCACCAGAGTCAACCCATCAGGCCTCTTAGGGTCGGATCCGCTCAATCCTGGGGGCTTAAGCACGCACGGGAAGTTGGCTGATATGACGGCTCTGCGGAGTACGTTTTTGAGAGCGTGGTGGCTAAAAAAATGGGAGAATGGGTAAGGATGAAATCTAGAGGAGATAGTTCTTTGAGGCCTGGTAAAATGGTGTTTAAACGATAGAAGTGTATAAGAGCACCGACGCTACAGGGAAAAAACTTACACTTCGAGGAGTTAACCTCCAGACCCAGGTCTTTGAGGTGAGGAATGAGGGTTTCTATATCCTGTAACATGTCTGCCCGCTTACCCCCGATATGGCCCTTATTAAGATAACACACGTTTAAAGAAGATTTGAGCTCGGCAATCACTTTGTCACATAGCCAAACCAAAGACGAGTGGACCCAACGGGCCCCCTTACTGAGCTCCTACTTAAGAAAGAATAAGATTACTGTCAAAAAATACGCTAGATGGAAGACTGTAAATCTGGTAAAGAAATTGAAACAGAAAGGGAATATTTTCCTTAACTTCCCTCAACGAGGTCCCTCCCCAAAGTGTTAAATGCGTTGTGAATGTCAAGCTTGAGCAATACGCAGCCCTCGCAGGTTAATTAGAACAAGAATGAAACCATCCTTTTTTTGAGTTGAACCGACTTCTAACAAAACTAACAAAGAGCACTAAAAACCTAACAGCAATCGCGGTTTATTTGCTGTCATTTTTAGAAGATCTTCATCAGATCTATGTGAAATTTAAATGGCACCATTTCGGATAAACCCCTTTCGAACGAAAAAGGAATTAAATTGAAAAGAAGTCGGTTAAAAAAAAGTTTCATGAATCAGAACTCAAATTACTTTACTGCAAATATAGATGTCTGGAAGCAAGAGCATGACCAACAATCTCACAGATACTACTATAAAGTTATTAGTGTAAATTAGTTTCGCTTAGTTTGTAGTAGTTGAGGGTATGGTCAAGAGTTTGAGACTCTGGGTTATCGATAGTAAATACCGGGAGTTTAGCCTTGTAGCATTTCCTATTTACAATGATTACTTGCGAGTTTGTTTGGAATTAAATGTGTTGAACTAAGAACCAAACAATAAATTCACCAAGAGGGAAAGTCAAATGAGGGCGAATACAAGATGGTATACAGACAAATGATACTTTTTATATTTTTGAATCGAATTTGAATGTTTTACTATTTACGCTTTTGAATTAACGTTCAATAACGTAACGTTCGTAACGAGTATTTATTTTTAACCAGCTGTTGGCTGCGACTCCGACCGCGTGATGTCGGTTATGACAATGTAGCTTTCCATTGGTCAAATAATTTTTAAAATTGAATTAGTGGTTTAGACTGTATCCTGTGTATATTCCCTTTAGATTTTTTTATCATAATGTAATAAATTATATTATTTTGTTATTGGCCTCTTTCATCAAGTATCATTTTAACAAGATACTAGTCATTAAGAGATTAACCTACCATTTTGAAGAAAAACGAGTTAGTAACTTTATCTAGTCTTGAAACAAACATCAAATAACGTCCTCAACAACCAAAAAGCAATAATTGCTATTAGCTTCTACACAATGTTATGTAGTCGACATTTGCTACTACTGGCGATAAATAAAATATTTTTCGCATTACGTATTATATTTCTTATTTCCGATATACATGACTATTTTCCAGAATAAAATACATAAATCCAACATTTTATGACATACTTTAGTTTAGTCTTTTTACACCAAGTTGATGATTTACACCAACCAAAATAATATTAAATATATACTAAAAAGTGGTACGTAACGTGAGTAAGCATATAAAATTTCCAATTCATAATGCTTAAGATATTTTTTTTTTTTTTTTTTTTTTTTTCTTAAAATATTTCTTATAATATGTGTGTGAATGATTGAATATTATGATGTACATATCGTTTAATAAAAATACAGGACATGGTGTCCTAAAACAAGAGCTTACAAAGACTTTTAATCCAGTTTACTTAGTCATTTTAGTTCGTAATATATTATAATGAAT